CTTTAGACTGAGAAAAAAAGTATAACAAATTACAAACATAACAAAATGAGCTAATACCACAGTATCACAAAGTTCATAAATATTCTATAATATTCTTAGTAAACCGTTGCCTCACACATTGTACTTCCTTCCTCACAGTTTTCAGCTCCATGTTCTCTGGTTAACTCTTCATAAAATAACAATTATATGATCTTTGCTAGAGAGAAAACAGAAAATCTTATCTTTCTTCAGGCAAAAAAATTGTTAAGAAAGTCAGGCCATGGGTCTAGCTGCTAGAGCACTTTGAGGAGGATTCCAAGGTGGCAGCTTTCTGGGCCTAGTGGAAATGGGGGAGGTGGCCCATTAGTGATGTCTCTGTTGGGTAGAAAAATGGAAGCAGTGGCAGGCATATCTGCAGACCTTTCCCTAGAAAATATTGTGGGGCTGAACCTGCTGGCGGGGGTTAAATTATCTCAGCTGTAGAAGGAAGCAAACCACAGAGGCTGGGAGAAGGCAGGCCTGACAGTCACATTTTTGAAATGCCATTTACGGCCTGTGCCGGCTGTGATTACACTGAGGCTGACAGTCGTGTGATTAAATGCACGGAGATTAGTCTGAATGGGCTTTTCTCGCGGTTGATTTTCGGTGGGTAATAACGACACTCTGATAACTTCTACATAGGTAAAGGACTCAAGGGCGCCGGAGGACTTTCAGGCCCTTAACCAGGCTGCGTTCCCTCGTGACAATGGCCACGCTCACTAAATTAGTACCTGTGCTGGCCCCCTTTTCAGTCCTGAGGTAGGATTTCTTTTCAACAGCGGCTTGAAGCAAAGCGCCGGGGTCTGATGGAGCCTCACCTGCCGGCGATCGAAGGGAAAGCCCGGCCTTCAAGGTTCGGCGGCTGCTGCAGTTCAGGCCGTTACGGTCCCTACGGAGCAGGGCCTGCTGCTAACATAAAGTGTCTCCTCCAAAGTCATCTCCTGTTTGTCCAAGACTGAGCGTCTCTTTCTCTTTTAGAAAGGAGAGAGCCGCTTTCCTTCAGCCAGATTTAAAGCCTGGATCCTGCCTAATATTCTGTAAAATCTTGGGATTTGAATAGCTCAGAGTCTGAATCAACACACTATAAATGAGGTGTTAACTTCTCAAGGCTGTCTCCCAAAGTCTGGCCGTCTTTCCAACCGGATTTCAGTGTTATTTGCACCTTTCATGCATGCAGTGGCCAAGCTTGGGGATTCTGTCACTCTTGGTATTGCCGTGACGACTCCCAGACCCACACTGGGGTGTGTGTGTGTGTGTGTGCATGCTCACATCCACAGCCATATCCATTCTTAGGTCTTTTAACTATCTTTCACTACATTTCTATTATATTTTCCATAAAATTTTTTGGATTTCTGTTTTGGAGATTACTAGTCACCTCTTATATTTTTGGATGCTCTGTGATTTTTAATCTCCTTTTATGAATGGATTGCTTATCCATAGGAATTCAGTTGCTTCATTGCTGTCTTTGTTCTTGCCGTTGCTGCTTGTCTATTCAGCCACTTTGCTAAACTTCCTTATTAATTGTAATAATTTCTCTGTTGATTTCCTTGGATAGCCTGTGGAAACAGTATTCTATTCTATTAGTATCATGTTTAGGATCCTTGGACCCTGATTGAGACAGAGAGTGTCGTGACAGTCTTTAGCCAGGAGTCTGAAGGAGAGATGAGCCCTGTCTTCCCTTAGTTATCCTTCTGTCAACGTGTGGTTCTCAAAATATTAAAAACCTAATTTTCATATAGATAGGTAGGTAAGCACATGTCAAAGTTTTATTCAACTCATTAATGAGGGAGCTGGGAGGGTGACAACGCTGGATGAAAGGAGAATGTGGGAATATAGGACTTCTGCTCTCAGTGCAGGAAGAAGAGCTGAGGTGAGATCACAGATTCAGATACAAAACTGGTTCTTAGCCAAGAGAGCAGCAGAACCGTAGTGTTTAGGGTTGTCTTCTCCACTGGACAGAAAGCAAAATCATCCCCATCTTACTAGCATTGTCACAGGTCTGAGCCCAGATCACTGGTACAAACTATGTTGCATTCCCCGGAGAGAGAAAGGACCCCCGGCAAGCTTCTCTAGGTATCAAAATACAGGTTTCTGGGCCCTGCCCCCAGAAATGCTGACTCAGTAGGTCTTGGGCTGAGCCTGAAAATTTGCATTTTAACAAGCTCCCAGGTGATACTGATGCTCAGCAAACCAGCTTTAAGTAACACGGCCTTAGATGACATTGAAAGGTCATGCAGCAATCCTTTTGCTTATTTCCAAGTTCTGAGTAATTTTTCTTAAACCTTCACTCAGAGTTCCCAAAGGAGAGCTACGCCGCCAGATCAGGAAAAACAAAGTGAGGCAAACAGCACTTTACTCTGGCTGAAGACTGAGTTCAAGCCTGAATGAAGGTCTTAGATGGGCAAAGACGGGTTATACGGAGGAGTCTTTGTTTCCTATGCTGGGAAGGTGTCAGTAGCATTGAACCAAAACAGGCCCTTGGCCATCTTCCCCCAAACTCATATTTAAGTGTCTGGTCTTATCATTGAAATGCAGGGAAAAGCTTATTCAAGCAAACACCACCCGTGACAGAGGAAAAGAAGCTAAAGAGAGCAGGAGAAAGCAAATTCCTCCCCAAATCAGGAAGCACTCTGGCCTAGGCTGGCTTCCCAGGCCACCTCAGCTTGGTGCCAGAGTAGAGAAGAGAGACTCCACATAGGAGAGGAGAGAAGACAACTGGGCATCTCCCAAGGGAGCAGCCCTGACCCGCCTTACTATTCTGGGTTCAAGGGATTAGGTGGTCAGAGACATTACACGATATTTGACTAAACTTGAATTTCAAGTAATGAATAATTTTTAGTGTAAGTATGTCTCAAATATTACATGGGACAACACTAAAAAAAGTATTCATTGTTTATATGATATTCAAATATAACTGGGCATCCTGTATTTTTTTACAATATAATAATACCAACTTTATATGGCTATTGTAAGGATTAAGTAAGATAGTTAAATGTAAAGTATTTAAAGCATAGGAAGCATTTGATAGCTGTTGCTTATTAACATCTTTCCGGTTGTATAGAAGCGAAATCTTGGAGAAAGTAATTTGCCAGTACTGGGCAGCAGGTGTTATGGGCTGAATTCTGCCCCACCCCAAATTTACATGTTGAATCCCTAACTCCCAGACCTCAGAATATGACTGTATTTGGAGACAGGGCCTTTAAAGGGGTGAATAGGTTAAAATGAAGCCTTTAGAGTGGGTCCTAATGCAGTCTGATGGTGTCATTATAAGAAGAGGAGATTTGGACATAAAAAGAGGCACTAAGAATTTATGCACACAGAAGAAAGACCATGTGAGGACACAGCGAGAAGGTGGCCGTCTGCAAGCCAAGGAGAGAGGCCTCAGGAGAAACCAAACCAGCCAACACCTTGATCTTGAAGCACAGTGCTCCCATTTCAGCCTGACAACCGCTATTTGAAGATAAGCAAGAGCAACAAGATTTATTATGTAGAAACAATGACCTCTCCCCTTCTCCTGGCTCTTTGTGAAAGAATTCCACCCACGAAATTCCAGGGAAGAGCTAACCGAAGAAGGCTGATTAACGCTTCTCTTAGCTTCTGTATACCGCTTCACTAGCTCGCACCTGAGTACCCCTCCCAACCAAGAATGTGGTTTTTGTCTTTATATTCTCCCTGCAGACTGTTGGGGCTGGGAGTCTGTTTAGGGCAGGAGCCCGCTCGTAGCCGCTGGCTAATAAACCTCGAAACGATCAATTTGGTCTCTGTGTGAATTAGTCTCGAGTGAGTTGGGTATAACAAATCTTGGACTTTCAGCCTCCAGAACTGCGAAAAAATAGATTTTTGTTGTTTAAGCCCCCAGTCTGTGGTGTTCCTCTCTCTCTTCACCTCTCCCTCCCTCCCCTCCTTTCTCTCAGAGCTTCTCCATTGTTGCTAGCTTGGACTTCCTCATAGCATGGCGGTTTCGGGGTAGTCAAAACACCCTTGTATAGCTCACAACTCCAAGAGAGAGTATTCTGAGGACCAAGGTGCAGGCTGCCAGTTCCCATAAAAATGAGGCCCAGAACTTCTGCCACAGTCTACCAGTCAAAGCAGTCACAGGCCACCCCCAGATTCAAGAGGAGGAGAAATAGACCCCCCTCCCTCAAAGGAAGGAATGTCAGAGAACTTGTAGCCATCTTTAATATGCATACATTAGCTGTTTTATATCATTCTAGAACACGTGTGGACCCAGGGAAGTTTCTTCTTATGACAGTGGAGTGTAACCCACTGGTTCTGACTTCAAACACCCATGGGCAAAGTCTGATATGAGCAGGGGCTGGATCTGAGCGGGACACAGTCCCACTCTTTCCCTCTGCTCTGAACTTCATGCAGCACCAGGAAGAGTCAAAAAATCTGGAAAATCAAAATGCAAACACAAAAAGGAAATGAGAAGCTCTTATTTCACATGTGTAAGTTACATGGCGTGAATAAGCTCAAGAAACACTGTGCGGAACCTGGAGTGGGGTGGGTGGGAGGAGCAGCGCCCAGTTCCTGTGTGAAGAGTCTCGCTTCACCCCTCCTGAGAGGTGAAAACCTCCCTAGATAGGACCTGCTGCTAAGTCCTCGCTCTGTGCTTCCTTTGTAAGTGGACAGGAAAGGAATCAGCGGGGGGAAAAGGGACAGCAAGAGGAGAGAAGCCCCTTTTAACCCATCTTCTTGCACTCCAACGATGGGGTCAGGCAAACCTGGGGTCGAATCCCAACTCTGCGCCTTCCCTGTTGTGTCAACTTGGCAGGTTACCTCACATCTCTGAGCCTCCGTGTCTTCACCTGCAAAATGGGGATAGCGTTGCTGGTCTCGTGGGATTGTTATGAGGAATAAATTAGATCGTGCTGGGAAAGGCATGTAAAACAATCAGCATGGGGTTAGACATGGAGAAATAAGTGCTCAACATACATTTGTTGTTACGGTCACTGGTCTCATTGCCATCATTGTGTTACTAGGACCATGAAATAAAAGATGAAACTGAAGGAACTGACTACCGTGGAAACAGTGGATCACTCCGGGAGTTGGAATTACAGGTGATTTTTATTTTCTAACTCTATCTCAAATGAACGCACATTTATTTTTCTAATAAGAAAAGAATAGAGAAGTTATTTCTAAAAGTTAATAAATGTCCTTTGAGGATTCCCTTTAGCTCATCCAGTCTTCCTGTTCCTTACTCCTTCCTGTGTCCACCCAGGGTAGGGACGACTGCACAGGATGTGAGCCCACAGCATTCGGTCCCTAACAGCCCCTTCTTTAATGGTGTCCACAGCTTCCTAGGAGTCTGGAAGTGACAGAGAACAAAACAAGCCCCTCCCACCCTGATGCATGCCAGATTCCCACAGCCTCTCTAGACTCCAGACAGAAGCATGGGCTCCAGACTGCCTTGGTTGCTACCAAATGTGCAGCAAGAGCACTTGACTCCAACCAGAGCCAGATGTAAGGGGGCGCTGACCGTTCACCTCAACAATGCTGAGAGCGGCGCGTCCCTGCATTTTGCACCCTAGTCACTTGCTCACCTCACCCTCGTGCCAGTCGTGATCCCAACATCTCCATGTCCAAGAAGATAGCCAGGACCCTGAGCAACCCCTGCCACCCCCACCCCCAAGCCCTGGAAGAGAAAAGGGGTTTATCAGACAGTTCCTTGTGGGGGCATTGCCTGTACACCTAACGGAACAGCCGCGTTCAAAACCCAGGGTTGTGTGCACTGCAGGGCACGGGTCAGCCTTGGGCTCTGTCCCACATGGAGACAGTGTTGTCCTATCTTGTCTAGCTCCTGAGGTTATGGTCCCTCTGGCACCGTTAGCTTGCCCCACAAACTGCACAGTGTGTGCCTTTTCTCTGCCCACAGGGTTCTGACGGGGGACTCCTGGGGCCACACCAAACAGCTCTCCTTGCCAGGAGCTGAGCTCATCACAGTTGCGTTCTCCACAAAGGGCTGCTGGGCCGCTATTAGTACTGAACCCCTTTTCCCCTTTGTGTACAGGAACCTCCCCTTCCTCAACTACACAAAGATCTGTGATATTACTTCCTCCAGAGCATCATAGAGCCACCCCAACCCAGCTGTAGCTCTCTGCTCCGCCAGGGCAGCAGCCCCTCTCAGGAACCCTCAGGCCCCAGAGCCATCCTTTTGGCTTCTTATACAGTCTTTTTGGTGTATATAGGTCAGTATAATTTTCAGTGCTGAAAGCAGTGGGTGATTAATTTCTGCCAATGATTTTCTGCCTTACCCCCCTGGACTCCTTTCAGTAACTCCAACCCTAATTTTACATTAAATGATCCAGTGCTTCACTCATTTCCCTGAGGAACTCCCTGCCCGCATTAACCCTGTGGCTCCCTGAAACCTCCCTTTGTCCTTACCTCATTTCCCTCCCTTCTTCTGTGACATTTCGGGTTTCTGTGCCTTCTTTTCTGGCCTCCAGCACTGCCCATGCTCCTGCTCCACACGCCACACTCACCTCCTGGAGTCAAAACAGAAACTTTAATTCTCTGTCTCTGGCATGCTTCGTGAATCCCTGTCAATAACTAGCAATTTAACAGGTGTCTCTTTTAGTAAAGATCATCATTACTGAGTCTGCTTCCCCCACATGGGTTCTCTGAATGGCCCTTGGTGTCATTCCTCATGTCATATCTGCTGGGCTTGTTTACATTTCTCAACAGTGAATGACACTTGGGTCTCGGAAAACAGACCCAGGTGTGTCCTAAGGCTCCTCATGTCATGGCCAAACTGTGAAGGACTCCCCAGGGATTCCACAAACCGTTGGGGTTAGTTCTCAGCATGAAGACTTTTAGCTTGAGTTCACTCCCACATTTTGTCTCTCAACCCATGAAAAAACTCAGTGGAGTACTGCCTCCCCTTCCTTTGGCAATTTCCATGTTTTGGGAGCCAGCATTATTGTCTGAAAAGCCATCTCTTTCTCTCAGAGCCCCAGATACATGTAGCTAAGCTAACTAAAAGACAGAAACTGCATTATTAGCTTCTGCAGAGAGTTAGTACCTGACTTAACACACTTTACTTTGACTCTTAGCCTGAGTCAAAGTCCTTTTTGCCACTTGTGTTTGTCCGTACCACAAAGGGAAGCATGCTGAGCAATGGGAAGCCTGAGAGTATATTCAAAGCCTCCAAGGATTACCTTCTACCCCCAGCATGAGAGAAGGTGATTGGTGACACAGATGGTAAAAGCATGTCCTAAATTGGTATCTGGCCAAAGACGATCGATGTTAACGTGAGATAATCATCTGATTGGTAATTTAAGATTGGCTGTGTATTGGCTTCATTAACTCCAAATCAAGATGAGCAGTTTCTAAATTACTTTCCCTCAGTAAACAAACTCAGGTCTTGAGGGAAAAAATTAAAAGGGATTTGTGTGGATGAAGAAATGTCCCCAGGCAGGAAAGTACAAACAGACCATGTTTATATGACACTGAATAAATGGTTGGAAAGGGCCAAATCTATTTGGAGCGATGACTAAATAGAACCCACTGACGTCAGACTGCCTGAAGCAGCTGGATGAAATGGGGCTCTCACCCCATCACTGTTTGATTCTGGCCCATTAAAAACATGACTCGTTTTGCCTCTCTGTACACTCTTCTTCTATGTTCTCCTTATTGGCCCACTCTAGATGATTCAGCATTCATGATTCTACCAGTATATTACAAAAACATTTATTGAGTACCTATTTCATCCATAGCGCTGTGTTGGGCCCAGCAGAATTGCAGAGGTGTAAAAGCTAACGTATACTCTCAGATGTTAGAGTAACCAGGGAGATACACAAGTGTACAAATAACTAAAAGGTAAGATTTGGAATATAAGGAAGCAAAAAACACCCAATCAAAAGAGCAAAAAGAAAAAAGAAACCCCTGGGACAACTTCAAGTATACCAACAATCACATCATGGGGATACTGGAATAAGAAGAGAGAAAGCAAGAAATTGAAAACCTATTTGAAAAAATCATGACAGAAAACTTCCCTAACCTTGTGAAGGAAATAGACATACAAATCCAGGAAGTGCAGAGAGTCCTGAACAAGATGAACCCAAAGAGGCCACGTCAAGACACATCATGGTTAAAATGCAGAAGGTTGGGGACAGGGAGGGAATCTTGAGAGCAATGGAAGAGGAACAGTTGGTTGCGTACAGGGGAGCTCCCATGGGACTGTCTGCTGATTTCTCAACGAAGGCTTTGCAGGCCAGAAGGAACTGGCAGACCGGGGTGGTGAGGGGTGGGCATCTACAGCCAGGATCGTTCTGCCCAGTGGAGCTATCATTTGGAATCAGGGGACATGTAGAGGGCTTCCCAGACAGGAGGGAGCTGGATGGGTTCATCACTACTAGGCCAGTAATGCATGAGGTGTTGAGGGGTCTTCTTTGGGAAGAAGATAAAAGATAAAAGATAAAAAATGTGAACAATAAGATGGTAATAAATGCATATATATCAACAATTTAAGCTAAAAAACAAAATAAGTGAACAAGCAGAAAGAAACAGATTCATAGATGCCAAGAGCATTTTGATGGTTGCCAGGTGGGAGAGGAGGTTGTAGGGTGGGTGAAAAAGGTGAAGGGATTAAGAAGTACAAATTATTAGTAGTTACACAATAGTCATGAGGATGTAAAGTACGGGGAATATAGTCAATAATATTCTAATCACTATGTGTGGTATAAGATGGGGGAAGAAAGAAGATTATCATTGTTATTACAGAAATATATAAGAAAGAACATAGAAAGCAATTAACTCTGACTTGACGATGTTTATTTTGACCTAAGTCATGTTAAACTTAGTTGCATTGTGATTTTCCAAGAAGGAGTTATAGCATGTTATGTTTCCCCAGCTCATGTTCATGTTACACGGTGCCTTCATTTCAAGGAGAGCTCAATTTGTAAAATGCTGGGCAAAGACATCAATTGTGAAGAGGAAGATGTATTTGGAAAAGGTAGTTGGGATGCGATGGGAAGGGGCCCGGAAATTAGCTGCTCCAAGGAAACTGGCTCAGCCTTCTTCTCTGTGTTTGGGTTTCTCCGAGGCAGAAATGGTTATGCGGTTAGGGCCTGGGGCGTGTTTCACATGAGGCAGAACACATGGTTCCTTGGGTCCAACCCAGCCTGAATACAGATGGAAGCCCCTCTGAAGAGTCTTTGTTGCCTTAGCCAGTAACAGTGCTTGCCCACATGTCAATAGGCACAAACAAATGTTTGGAGCCAAAATTTGCCAAAAACACATTGTAAAAGCAAAACCACCGAGTCCCTACTGCTAAAGAATTCATCAATAAAGGACACATTTCCCATTTGAAAATCCAAACATGCTAATCACAAAGGTAAATAAAAATAGTTTAAAGGAGAAACATAGCATTCTACCCCTTTGAAAAATGAATGCATGTTCCAGGTAATAAAAAAAGTAAAATTTGTCAGAATATTGCTTTTTTATGTAAAATTAGTCCATAAATTCTGTTTACAATCCAAAGACATTTTCTAAATCTGTCAGAACACGCCCGATTGAGAATAGCGCCCTTGAGAAGAACGGCCATCGTGGCGCCGGTTTCCACTGACAGTCTGGACAGCTCTCATGTTTGCAGTTTATAAAGTGCTTTTGTGTTCATGACCTTGCTTAATCTTCACAGTGATCCAATTAGGAAGTAAGGGCAACTATTACTCCCACTTGACGCACGGGAAAACTGAGGCTGGAGAAGTAGTGACCCGAGTGCAGCAAGCTCAGCTGGGAGTGCCTGCGCATGAGCACCAGAGTCGGCCCTGACACTGAGCTCCAGCATCCCCTCCACGCCCCCACGCTACTGCTGGTACTTTAAGTGCCAGCTGCTTCAAGTACCAGACATCCCAATGGAGCAAGGAATCTTCCAACCCCCTCCTCAATTCAATTATTTACTTATTTAATGGCCCCTCGCTGAGTGTTGCCAGGCACAGGAGATAAAGTGGTGACACAACACACGTATACCCCCATCGTCATCCAATTCAAAGTCAACTGGGGCAAGCACACAACCAAACACACAGGACTGGCAGAGTGTGGTGATGCTGTGATAGGGCAGCCACGGAGCCACTGCCCTTAACCCCATGCCCCAGTGTGTGTATCACTCAACTCTCCCTGGGCTTTGCTGCTTTTACATCATGAAGACAACCAGCATTTACTAAGTGCCCGCTCCATGCCAGCACTGCCTTTGGCTTAGACACCTTCTCTCAGGGACCTCTTGCTGTAACTCCCACAAGTAGGTCTTAGGATCCCATTTTAAGGAGGACGACACTGGAGCTCAGAGAGATGGAGTAACTTGATGTATTTATTTGGTATTGACACATAAAAAAAATTCCCCCCAATCTTAGTGGCTTAACAAACAACATTTATTATCTCACAGTTGCTGTGCGTTGAGACTCTCAGCATGGCTTAGGGGGTCCTCTGGCTCAGGGTCTCTCACAAGGCCCCGGTCAAGTCACCTGGAACCACAGTCACGCCAAGGCTCCAGGAAGAACAGCCTGCTTTCGAGCTCTCTCACATGGTTGTGGGAGAATCAAGTTCCTTAGGGGCTGTTGGGTTGAGGGTCCAAGTCCCACACCAGTTGGCTGAAGGCTGCCTTCAGTCCCTTGTCACATGAGCCTCTTTGTCACAAGGCAGTTGTCTCAGAGTCAGAGAGTATGCAGGCAAGACAGAGCAGCCTTCTGCAACTTAATCCCCAAAGTGCCATTGGGCCCATCACTTTTGCCAGATTTTNTTTCACAAGGCAGTTGCCTCAGAGTCAGAGAGAATGCAGGCAAGACAGAGCAGCCTTCCGCAACTTAATCCCCAAAGTGCCATTGGGCCCATCACTTTTGCCAGATTTTATCCATTAGAGTGACTAGGTCCAACCTCCTCCCCTCCTCCCCCCGACACACACACACACACACACACACACACACACACACACACACAAAGAGGTAAATATCAAGAGGTGGGAATCACTAGAAACCATTTGGAAGCTGCCTACCACACTTGCCAACAGCTCATGCATAGTATTTCCAGGACTCAAATCCATGTCATCTCACTTGTAACATCCATGCTCAACCCAGCAGCTGGCACAGCCACACAGGTTTCCAACATGTGCTTAGCTCACCATATTGCACCTTCTAAAGCATTAGTGCATGTGACTTGTTTCATTCAAGGCATATACAGGCAGATACTATAATTCTCATTTTATAAAGGAGAAAACAGAACTGCACAGGGCATACACAACTCACGGATGTGTGTAACTCATTATAACTTTGTCTTGCTCTTTAATGACATTTTAGTGTTGGGCCTTAAATGATTTTCCCAAGCTCACCCCAGTGGAGCCTGGATGCACATTGTCTGCCTACAAATCTCAAGAAGACCGATGCCTCCATTATCTAAGCCACCGGCTCCCACCTGTCTTCCATTTCTACGAAGCCCTCATACGCAGTTAACAAGCCAGTATTATGGATTGAAAATATGGGAAGATGCTAGAGATCATGGTAAGTGTTCTTACCATTTTTAAAAAAAGCACATAGAAAACAAAAGTTCAAAGAGACGTAGAATCCAAGTTCTGTGGGAGCAAAGAGGATGGTCAGTTTGTTCCCCTTTGAGGGAATCTGAGCAGACTTCACGGAGGAGAAGGCATCTGAGATCGTNCTGTGGGAGCAAAGAGAATGGTCTGTTTGTTCCCCTTTGAGGGAATCTGAGCAGACTTCACGGAGGAGAAGGCATCTGAGATCGTTGGAAAGATGAATAACATTGTGATGAAGAGCAGAGAGAACAGTAGATAAAACACGTAAGGCAAGAAAATGCTCTGCAGGTTTACAGAACAGTGAGTTGTATGACACGGTGGGAACAAAATAGAGCAGAAAAGAGAGGGGACGCGGGTAGAGGGGACTGCAGTCAGGTTAAGGGGGGGAAGCAGGGCTCAGGACTTTATTATGTGGGAGGCAGCAGGAGCCAGGGGGGATTTCTGTGTGTGGTGTGACATGATCAGGTCTACGCTCCAGAAAACCAGCTCTGGTGTGAAGGGTGGATTGAAGAAAGCAGAGGGGTCGTCACTTAGGAATTGACCGTAGTAACGATCCCTGCAAGAGACACGAAAGGCCTGAGCTCAGCATTCCCATGGTTAAATGTAAGCGAAAGTGAGAATGAAGGCAGAACAAAGGGCGACGTTAGAGGTGGGGAAAGAACCCCTTCAGGCTCCAGAAGCAGCTTGAAAGGGAGGGAGAGTGTCCCCTGTGCGTGTGGCCCAGCCACCCAGGAACAAGAGGCACTGCCAGGAATCAGGAAGTCTGCTTGGAACAGGCTGCAAAAGAGATGTCACCACAGAGCAAAGGGAAAACTTGGGAAAGGTGCCAAGTGGCCCTAGAGTCCAGGAGCGAACCCAAGTGCCCTACTTCTAATTTTTTCTTTATTAAACAGAGGGCCTCTGGTGCCATGGCCCTGAGAATGGGGTCCCATCCGTCCCCAAGGCCTCAGTTGGTCTGATGGGCTCCCACTTCCTTCCTAGGCAGGTTTGAAGTGCAAGAGTGAGCCTGGGGGCACGGTAGGGTTTGGGGGTGCAGCACCCCTCCCGAATGGCATCAGAGCAAGTGGAAGGGCTGAAGACCTTCTCCTAGGGGAGGCCTGCGTCCTTGGTGGCACCTGGCCACACAGATATCCTGGGACCAGGCAGACACGAGCAACCTGGTCTGAGCCTCCCTAACTTTGCTTCAGTGTTATTGCTGTGAAGTCTGGACAAAACCAGCCTCGTCCAGGCATCTCTGAGAGTCCAGAACGTCCATGCCAAGAGCCTCCCCTCCTTGTCTTTAAAGACCCCCAGCCGAGGCTTCTTTGATCCCTATAAAGGATTTTAATTACACAAAGATCTGAATCCCTTGATTAAATTTCAATCTGCATCAGAAGCTGTTTATTTCCATCAAACAAAAATACTTTTTGGAAACCCAAACAGCCACTTACCACCATCATTTTATTACCACTATCCTCGGGAACCCCAACTCCAAGTTTTAAGGTGGGAGCTTTTAAAAATAAGTGCCTTTTTTTTTTTCTTTCTCCACATTTCTGTGGCTGCCATACCAAGATCCGGCCTCCATAATTCCCCCACGCCCTGGCCCTCCGGCCCTCGCTGCTGAGCACCCCACCCACAGCTGAGCTGGGAAGCGGCCAGGCCACAGCTGGGGAAGGCTGGCTGCGTATCCTGACCTTGGCAGCTGGGACGGTGTGTGCTGTTCAGGAGCCGGTGTTATAATAGCCTCAGTGTTGGAGGACACATGCCGGCCGAAGGCTGAACAAAGGGTCGCTTGTATGAGCTGAGCCGCATTTGCCGCTGGTACTGTTAGCTGGCTCCACTGGCCATCAGATCCTCCAGCTTGCTCTCCACCCCCTCCTCTTTTCTCCCAAGGACTTCCTTAGTGTTACCCCAGGCCCCAGCGCCTCTTCCAGACTCCTGTTCTTGGTGTCAGCCATGTGCCCACGCCCAGGACCACAGAGATACACCACCATGGCAATGTAAATAGAGCAGCTCATGCTTACTNGGCCATGTGCCCACACCCAGGACCACAGAGATACACCACCATGGCGGCAATGTAAATAGAGCAGCTCATGCTTACTGAACACCCACTGTGTGTGTGCCAGACATGTGTTTGCTCGTGGGATCCTCAGCACAACCCTAGAAGGTAGATCTCATACTATTTAAATGCATAAGGAAGCTGAGTCTGGACACTCCATTAGCTTGTGCAGTGTTGCGTTGCTAGCAAGTAGAGGCTCTGGCCCAGGGCTGCTGACTCCAGCGCTAGAGCTGGTCACCGCCACTCTAGACCTCTGAGTTCACTGAGTTCCATTGTTTCTCCCTTCATATTCTCTACTCCATTTACCAGTCCTCAGGAGAGGCAAAGGGAAGACAAAAGCTACCCTCCTTTTGATGTTGAGATTCCTTAAACTTTGGCCAAGGTGAAAGTTTGGGAGAGACATGGAATAGACCACCTCACTGAGCCAGAGACCAAAATTATCAGGGAAGCATTAGAATAACAGGTGGGATCTAACAAGGTGGAGTTTCACAAGGACGGAGCCAAACACCAGACTTCAGAACACCACGTGGGCAAGTAGAGATGCCTATAAGCACATCATGTGACAAACACCTAATGCTTGAAACAAGACTAATAATTACGGTGCTAAGAGCTACCTTATTGCACATGTACTAGATACCAGCACTGTGCTAAGTACTGTCCTTGTATTAACTAATCTAATCCCCATTTAAAATCAACATATAACCTTGTGAGGTTGGGACAGAAGAGGAAACAAAAGCTCCAAAAGTTCTTAGTAATCTCCCATGATCCCCTCACTACAAAGTGGCAGATCCAAGGTCAGATCCCTGTGGCCTGATTTAAATTCTGCTCTGGCACCCTCTGCGCTTTACGGGGTTCATGAGATAATGGGTGCAATAGTGGTCTGCATGCACTGTAGTTTCTAGAATGAGAAAAGTGTGTCCCATGCTCCCATGTACCACATCAGGCCACACACAGACTGTGACGGCATCCAGTCCAGGAGACATGCTTTAAAGTAACGACAATAAAACCCGGCTGATGTTGCTCAGTGGTTGAGTGCTGACCCATGAACCAGGAGGTCACAGTTCAATTCCCGGTCTGGGCACATGCCCGGGTTGAGGGCTCCATCCCTAGTAGGGGGCATGCAGGAGGCAGCCGATCAATGACTTTCTCATTATTGATGTTTCTAACTCTCTCTCCCCCTCTCCCTTCCTCTCTCTGAAATCAATAAAGATATATTTTAAATTAAAAAAACAAACACACAAAATAAAATATTCAGAAATTAGAGCTAATTATATCCACTTACTAAGTCATCCCAAAGTTTACTGGTTGTTATGAGAGAAAGTGTTAGCAGGGTATATGAGCTCCAAAATGAAATGCACATTTTTCTCATTGAGAAGCAGTGTCATTTGGCAATTTTTTTCGAAGATGATGTTTGTTAATAAAATTGGTACACTTCACTGACATTTTCAGTATTTTTAATGAACTAAATTTGAAACCGTAGAGGAAAATCAACAAGATACTCAACATACCCAGGGGGTTCAAAAGATTTCATTTGCCTAGTAAGTAAGGCTTAAGTAATTGCCCAACCTACCAAACATTCCCAATATTGTTACTGTATATCAAAGAGAACATTACTAATGAACACATTGCAAATGAAATAGAATTAGAAATACTGGTACAATTCCCTTCTGCCCCAAACTTTTAATTTTTAACTTTCCAAAAGAGAAATTCAAACATGAAAGAAAAATGCTTGGATTCCAAATCCATTTTCTTTTCCAAACCCTGATTCAGTAATTGGGCTTAATGTGCTGCTGTCCAAAGGAAAGAATAAATTATAGTTATTTGCACTGAAAAATGATTGCAAGACTTATGTTTATGTTCACTAGTTTGGATTAAGACTGAATAAGAACTTCTTAAGTTAANCAAACACACAAAATAAAATATTCAGAAATTAGAGCTAATTATATCCACTTACTAAGTCATCCCAAAGTTTACTGGTTGTTATGAGAGAAAGTGTTAGCAGGGTATATGAGCTCCAAAATGAAATGCACATTTTTCTCATTGAGAAGCAGTGTCATTTGGCAATTTTTTTCGAAGATGATGTTTGTTAATAAAATTGGTACACTTCACTGACATTTTCAGTATTTTTAATGAACTAAATTTGAAACCGTAGAGGAAAATCAACAAGATACTCAACATACCCAGGGGGTTCAAAAGATTTCATTTGCCTAGTAAGTAAGGCTTAAGTAATTGCCCAACCTACCAAACATTCCCAATATTGTTACTGTATATCAAAGAGAACATTACTAATGAACACATTGCAAATGAAATAGAATTAGAAATACTGGTACAATTCCCTTCTGCCCCAAACTTTTAATTTTTAACTTTCCAAAAGAGAAATTCAAACATGAAAGAAAAATGCTTGGATTCCAAATCCATTTTCTTTTCCAAACCCTGATTCAGTAATTGGGCTTAATGTGCTGCTGTCCAAAGGAAAGAATAAATTATAGTTATTTGCACTGAAAAATGATTGCAAGACTTATGTTTATGTTCACTAGTTTGGATTAAGACTGAATAAGAACTTCTTAAGTTAAATAGAAAAACTATATTGCTCATGTTATTATTCACAGTAACCCGTCTGGGTGAACTGAATTTTCAACCTTGACTGCATTAAAAACAAAGAAAAATTGTGATCCGCAGTTCACCAGATATGCTTGAAGCCTTGTCTACGTATGTCTTAGTATGGATTTATGAGCAGACAAACACAACTATCTCATCCTATCATCTTTACTCATTTGAAATTCTAAAAGTTTTATTTATTCTAAATTGTTTGTTCCTGTGTTGCATTTAAGACGTAATGATACCAAATTAGGTATTTAACGTTGTTTTTACTTTATCACAGGAAGTAAGATCAGTATGGTTTCATGGAATAATATACATCGGTGAGCATGCGTGCGTGTGTGCATGCGTGTGTGCGTGTGTGTGTGCAGCACTGGGATGAATTAAATGCATTCCGTAAACTTTATTACTTTATTCGCTCCCCTCAGCCCAGCCTAAACCATCCATGGAAACAGGGTGTTGCCAACATCAAAACAGACAGGCGTCTGCAGAGCATCCTGTGGGGTTACGTGGCCACAACGTAGAGCCATCAACTTGAAGTGACAATTTAGTTGTCCTTGTTTTTAAGCTTCAGCCACACTGAATTTCTTCTGGACCCCTGGCTCCTGCCATGAGCTGACTCCTCTCTTCCCTTTCCTATCCCTTCTGCTCACCATCCCCTCAAACCCGCATCTCCAAGGGGCCCCTGAACTCCAAGAGCATTTCACACTTTCGAGCTCAATTTTTCAGCTTTCCTCAGCAGCCCCACACCCCCCTTTAGCATATCCGGAGCCACTCCAAATCTCAGCTAAATGAACATAGGCCCATTTCCTTCTGGCAGGTCGCCCCTTCTTTACATCTTTGGGCCCCACAC